TGAGGCCGACTCCACTACCTTTTCCAGCAATGCATTCCACGCCCCTACCATTCTCTGAGTAAAGAACCTACCTCTGACGTCTCCCCATATCTACCTCCACTCACTTTAAAACTATGTCCCCTTGTAATAGCTACCTCTGCCCTAGGAAAAAGTCTCTGGCTGTCCAGTCTATCGATACCTCCGATCATTTTGTATACCTCAATGTCCTGTAACGTGATGCCCACAACGGTACACAATATTTCAGCTGAAGTCTAACGAGTATCTTATACACGTTCAACATCACCACCTTGTTACTCTGTTCAATGCCTCTATTAATAAAGCCCAGGACACCGTCCACTTTATTCATTGCTATCTACCTGTCCTGCCGCCTTCAGAGTTGATGGGTGCTGGGGAAATGGAGAGTTGGAGGAGGGGGAATGGAGAATTGGAAGCTGGGTGGAGAATTGGAGGAGCGGGGAGGTGGAGAGTTGGTGGAGAGGGTGGTGGCGAGAGGGCGGAGATGGGGGCAGATGGGGTGGAAACTGTAGGCATGGTATAGAGGAAATGGGGTAATAGAGAGAGAAAAAAAACCAAAGGGTGATTGAAGGCTGCACTTTTGGAAGGAAGGCAGTGCAAGGGAGCCACTGGTGTTGTGGAAATCACTGGACTAGTAATATAGAACCCAGGTGAATATTCTGGGGGCATGTGTTCGAATCCCAGCATGGAAGGCTGAATTACATGAAAATCTGAAATGAAGACTTGGTGACCATGTAGCCTCTGTCGATCATTGTAGGAATGCATTTGCTCCAATTGTGTCCTTTAGGGAAAGGATTTTCCCCCTGTCCTGGTCTGGATCCACACCCAAATGGGGATGACTCTAACCTGCCCTCTGGGCAATTACTGCTTCTCCAGCTAGTGATGCCCACTCCCCGCGGGCAAATAAAACAGAAAGAACTGAAATGTTTGTGCAGAATCGTGGGCTGCAGCTTCCAGGCCAAATGGGGAACATCACTCAATATTTTTCCAGACAAAACCCTACGGAAGAAGAGAAAGGAGGAGCTGGAAGAGGAAGATAACTGGGAAAAGTCCTGGATTTAAGTGTACTCATTCTCCTTCACATGTGGGTACCAGCTCTGGAGCACACTGAGTTCAATGTCACTTTTAAAAGGGAATTGGTTAAATTACAGCATTAACTCATAAGGAGGATTTTGGAGACTTTTTTTTAAAATCAAAAGTCATGGATTCTTCCTCAACATTGGGTAATGTTTCTAAGTGACCTTTTTAAAAATTCATTTGTGGGATGTGGGCGTCGCCGGCTGGGCCAGCATTTCTTGCCCCTTGAGAAGGTGGGGGTGAGCTGCCTTCTTGAACCGTTGCAGTCCTCCTGCTGTGGGTTGACCCACAATGTCGTTAAGGAGGGAATTCCAGGATTTTCACCCAGCGACAGTAAAAGAATGGCGATATATTTCCAAGTCAGGGTGGTGCGTGGCTCAGAAGGGAAATTTGGAGGTGATGGTGTTCCCATGTATCTGCTGCCCTTGTCCTTCTTGATGGAAGTGGTTGAGGGTTTGGAAGGTGCTGTCTGAGGATCTTTGGTGAATTTCTGCAGCGCATCTTATAGATAGTACACACTGCTGCTACTGAGCATTAGTGATGGAGGGAACGGATGTTTGTGGATATGATGCCAATCAAGCGGGCTGCTTTGTCCTGGATGGTGTCAAGCTTCTTGAGCGTTGTTGGGGCTGCACCCATCCAGGCAAGTGGGGAGTATTCCATCACACTCCTGACATGTGCCTGTAGATGGTGGACAAGCTTTGAGGAGTCAGAAGGTGGGTTGCTCACTGCAGTATTCCTAGCCTCTGACTTGCTCTTGTAGCCACTGTGTTAATGTGGTGAGTCCAGTTGAGTTTCTGATCCATGATGACCCCTGGACGTTGATGTTGGGAATTCAATGGTGGTAACGCTATTGAATGTCAAGGGGCAGTGGTTAGATTGTCTCTTATTGGTAATGGTCATAACCTGGCATTTGTGTGGCACAAATGTTACTTGCCACTGGTCAGGGAACAGCCCGACAGGATCCACCCTGTCCTTATCCCTCAGGGGTCTCGAGGATGCTATGTGCTACCACTTCCTGATGGATTTGTGGTCAAAGGTGTTTTCCTGTAAAAATATTTCCACGAAGGACAGGTGACATGGAATGGTCTAACTACTTGCAGTGTTCTGTGGCACAAAAGGTCAGGTCCATCCTTTGTAAATCCGGGGACAGGTAGAACCTCAGGACATAGTGACACTTGGTGCTTGTGTACTGAGGGTCTACACCCGACTTGATGCAGCCACACATAAAGGTAGACCCATCAGGATGAGGACAGCATTGGGTACGATCATGCCCCCTCCCCCGACCTTTATCCAAAGTTGTGTACATGGTGTCCCTGCAAACACGGTCCATCTTAGACCTCCAGATGACACGGAAGATGGTTCAGGTGAGTGCAACAGCTCAGGTTCTGGGAATGCACCACGTACAACAACAGAGAGTATGTCACAGTTGAGACCAAGTTTTTACACACAATGGAGAGGGTGTAGCCCTCCCATAAGCCTGGTATCTGCCTCATCTTGGCAACACACTCTTCCCAAGTTTTTGCGAACACGGAATGGTACAGCCTCAGAGGGGGTTGTGGATCTGGGATTTGGGGTTGACATGGAGGGGGGCTGCATGGCAAGGTAAATCCCCATCCCACCCCATCCCACACCTCTCCCCGTTCCTCTGCCTGTACAGACCGTACAAGGTATAGAATTTCTGGTGCAAAAGCACAGGAGGTCAGTAGGATTCTTCTGTTGGTGCACAGAAACAAAATATTTTAAATCCAAGTGTTCCAAACAAGAACAGACAAGTCTCCCACTGCTGCCAATTGGGTTCCTGTAGTTGGCTCTCGCTCTGTACCCACGCTCTTGCTCGAAGAATGGAGTTAGGTTTACACCGCACTCAGAGCACAAACAAAACACTGGTCTTTCAGTCAAACAAGTCCATACCAGGGTTTATCATCCACATGAGCCAGCAACTAACGATCAAAGCATTTCTGACCAACATCATGAGTCACTCCCACCTCATTGGAAGGCTATTTCCTGGCCATTTTAGAGAGCGATCAAATGCTTTGATCTGAAACTTTGGTGATCACTGACCTAATTTCAATTGCATTTTGTCAGAGGGTTGAAACAGTTTCACCACGTCACAGGTCAGACCCCTGCCCACCATTCCCCTTCTCACTGCACGTACCTTCATACAGCAGATTGCCCGACTCCATCCTGCCAGAAACACACAACAGCGGTTGCTTCCTTTGCGTGCTCAACCCAATGCCAGATCATTGCAAACACTGAGGTGAGCTGGAAGACTGTGCTTGACTGTGAACAGACAGTTCCAGCATCGCACTTGCCTTCTGAGCGTCATTGGAGCCGCGCCCATCCAGGGCAAATGGCGGGGTATTCCTTCTCACTCCTGACTTGTGCCTTGTAGATGGTGGACAGGCTTAGGGGAGTCAGGAGGGGAGTTATTTGCTGCAGTATTCCTGGTCTTGGACCTAGTCTTGTATTGATATGTCTTGTCTGTATTGATATGGTTGGTCCAGTTCGGTTTCTGGTCAGTTTGGTGAGCTCCCAGGATGTTGATATGCTAATGGCATTGACCGTCAAGGGGTGAGAGTTAGATTCTCTCTGTTGACTTGGCCGTCACCTGTCTTCCTCAAATTGACTCCAAACCCCAACCCCACCCCCACCGAACACTGAGGACTTTGTCAAGACAGTGTACCTCCAGCTTACTGCTCTTGATTTAGGTTGTAAGGAAAGCAATGACCAATATCTAACGAACACATAATTACAAGTACACCTTCAACACCAGTGGGCTGGAATATAAAGGGGTGGGGGAGGGATGCTAAAGCTGGGCAGAGCTCGGGTTAGACTCCAACTGCAGGAGGGAGGGGAATGAGAGCTTAAGATTAGAGCTAGGCCCTTCAGGAGTGATATCACAAAGCACTTTTTCACACCAAAGCCAGTGAAAATCTGGAATATTCTCTCCCCGGACATTTGTTGAAGCTGGGTTAATTGTGACCAATAAGACTGAGATTGACAGATTTTCCTTGGGCACAGGATATTCAGGGGCATGACGCCAAGGTGGGCCTACGGGGTTAAAATAATGACCAGGCTATACCCAACTGAATGATGGAACAAAAATACAGAGAACACTGCAGCAATGCAGCTCATCTGGCAGCATTCATGGAGAGAAAAATAGAGTTTTGCATTTGGTGTGACTCTCATGGCGGAATAGGCTTGATGGATCCCTCCCATTCCTATGTTATGGGCCAGTATTTTTATTCATTTATGGAATGATAGCATCTCTGGCTGGCCCTGCATTAATTGCCCAGACAGCAGTTAAGAGTCAATGCTATGGGTCTGGAGTCACATGTAGGCCAGCTTCCTTCCCTAAACAGCATTAGTGAAGCAAATGGGTTTCTCCCCCCACCAATCAGCATCAGATCCTAATTTCAGATTCTCATTGAATTCAATTTCCAGCATTTGCCATGGTAGGATTTGAACCTGGGTCCCCAGAACATCACCTGGGTTTCTTGGATAAGCAATCCAGTGATAATACCATTAGGCCATCACCTCCTCCAAGATGGAGCCCATTAAGAGATACTTCTACACCAAATGCACACTGGCAGGCACGATGAGGAAGCCATGAGTTCTATTTATTGCTTACATCACTCTGACCGACTATGGGCAAAGACAGACTGAAGCAAACTCCCTGTGCAGTTTTAAACAAAACTGTTGCACATTTTGGGTTCAAAAGCATGATGTGTGTGGAATTAACATTTTGAATCTTGGGATTCCCATAGCAAACCATACAACAGCTCCTCCACATATGTTCAGTTGAATCGACATTCGAGAGAAGTAAAAAGCAATTTAAACAAAGCAATATCAGACCGGAAAAGAGTTCCCATGGGGATTATGGTAATCAGGTTTTCTACAAGTACCTTGTATGCCAAAATTCCAGTTGAGCCGTGACCTCCTGGCTTCATCAGTGTATGGTACAGCTAACCAAGGCATCTCGTTAAAATACTGTTTAAAAGATTCTTCTGACCTGAGGGGGAAAGAATGGCAGCACTGAAACATTCTTGTATTTTTTACAAACCGTTATGAGTTAGCACATGGGGTTGTGGGGTGGAGGTATGACCTGGCCAGAGATCATAGAATTATAGGATCCCTACAGTGTGGAAACAGGCCCTTCAGCCCAACATGGACCTCAGAGCATCCCACCCAGACCCATCCCCCTATAACCCACACATCCCTGAACACTATGGGCAATTTAGCGTGGCCAATCCACCTAGCCTGCACATCTTTGGACTGTGGGAGGAAACCCACGCAGACACAGGGAGAATGTGCAAACTCCACACAGACAGTCACCCAAGGCTGGAATCGAACCTGGGGTCCCTGGCACTATGAGGTAGCAGTGCTAACCACTGTGCCACCATGCCGCCCAACTGTGCAACTCAGGAGGCAGTAGATGTTAAAACCACCATTGGTCTGTTTGGGATGCTCTTCAGAGGGTTGGTGCAGACTCGATGAGCTGAACGGCCTCTTTCCGAGCGGTAGTGGGGTTCTATGACTCTCTGCCATGTTCCCCGTGAGGGTTTTCCTCCTTTTCCAGCCGTTGCCATCATCACTATCCCTTCCTCCGCAGCACTTTACTCATCACTTCCCTCAGATAAAGCAACCAGTGCTGGGGCATATGAAAGCTGATGGCTGGGGGCAAAGGCACATGCCACAAAACAGCGCACGCCCACCTCCTGCCTGGTATTTATTCATTTAAGTGGCGCTGACCATCTGTCAAACCCCATCAGACTGCCAGTAATGTATTTAGCAGTGACACCAAACATCTATATTGGGATGGAGAGTGATGCCAGGCCCTCTGTACAGCTTCTCCAGCTTAAAACAGGGCACTCCTTGTCTGGTGACCTTTCCTCTTCAGTCCTGCTGTCAGCACAGCTACTGACATGAGACAATTGGAGACAGCAAATCATGAGGTTCTAGACTCGTCACTCTCAGCAATCGTCAAAGCTACAATTTCTTTATTTTAAAACAGCACAAAATGCCAGAGAACCTCAGCAGGTCTGGCAAAGAAACAGAGTGCTGAAGAAAGGCCATACTGGATTCAACTCCGTTTGTTTCTCTCTCTCTCTCTCTCAACCTGAGTTTCTCCAGCGCTTTCTGTTCTCATTTCAGTTTTCCAACGTCAATAGGAAATTATTATTATACTACTATAACTTATTTACTTTGGCCAGTTCTGGCAAAAGATCGATCTGTAATATCCATTCTATTCCTCTGTCCACAGGTGTTGCCTGACCTGCTGAGTATTTGCAGACTTATCTGTTTTTAATTCATATTTCCAGTCCCTGCAGGTATTCTCCTTCAGTAACATGTTTGCGTTCTTTGCCTGTCACATGACCATCCTGCTTTTATTTTGTACTATCATCTCTATTGACGTTTAATCTCTCCCGCCAACCATCCAGCCTTTTGTTACAGAGTCATACAGCACGGAATCAGACCCTTCGGTCCAACCACTCCATGCCAACCATAATCCCAAACTAAACTAGTCCCACCTGCCTGCGCTTGGCCCATATCCCTCCAAACATTTCCTTTTCATGTACTTATCCAAATGTCTTTTAAATATTATAACTGTTTTGGCATCCTCTTCCTCTTCCTCTTACCACTTCCTCTGGAAGTTCACTCCACACACGAACCACTCTCAGTGTAATAAAATTGCACCTTGTGTCCTTTTTTAAAATCTTTCTCCTCTCACCTTAGAAATATGCCCTCTAGTTTTGAACCTCCACACCCTCGGGAAAAGACCGTTGCTATTCAGCTTATCTATGCCCCTCGTGACTTTATAAACCTCTACATGATTACCTCTCAACTTCCCATGCTCCAGTTAAAAAAAAGTCCCAGCCTATCCAGCCTCTCCTTATAACTCAAGCCCTCCATTCCCAGTAACTTCCTGGTAAATCTTTTCTGAACCCTCTCCAGCTCAATAATATCCTTTGTTCTTTTCTGCCCTGCCCCCTTTTCTCCATCTTTGTTCTTGCTTAGAGCCTGTCTCATGTCCCAGTCCAACAGCAGATCAATGCCAGATGCTGCCAACAAATGTAAAGGCGCTTCCAGCATTTTCTGTCTACAGTTCAGATTTCTGCCTTTTGTAAAACCGTGACTGTGTTGTCTGTTCTTTCATTCACTTAGGTGTGCACCTCTGGCCAGGCCAGCATTTATTGTCCATCCCTAATTGCCCAGGGAATAGTTAAGAGTCAACCACATTGCGGTGGGTCTGAAGTAACATGTAGGCCAGAACATCTGCCCTGGCAGGGTTTGAACCCAGCTCCCCAGAACATTAGCTAAGTTTCTGGTTTAACAGTCATTGCCTCCCTATAATACCATAATACTTCAACTATTGTCACTGTTCAACAGAAAAGAGTGAGCATAATGACAGTAAAGCTTTCAGGGGTCAGGAAGTTATGGATTACGGAGCAAAGTTGGATTTGAGGTGCTGATGAGTGATGAACAGCCCACTCATTTGCTGGAAGAGCTTTGTCTACTGCAGTGTTGATGGAGCTGTGGCCCTACTAGCTCTTACAAGGGGCTGAGTGGCCTACTCCCAATCACACAGGGTTATGGGTTAGCTTTTCGTTATTCATGGAATGTGCACAATTGCCCAGATGGCAGCTTGAGAGTCAACGACCTTGCCGTGGGTCTGGAGTCACGTGTAGGCCAGACCAGACAAGGACAACAGATTTCCTTCCCTAAAGTTGAACCAGATGGGGTTTTACAACAACTAACATTAGAGCAGGCTAGCTCTTCATATTCCAGATTTCACCATCTGTTGTGGTGGGATTTGAATCCATGATCCTCAGAACATTAACCAAGGGATGTGGATAACTAGCCCAACGACATTATCACTACACCACTGGATGTTATGTGCACAGCTGCTGCTTATAGGCTAAGTCAAGTGTAGCCCTTGGGAAAGAAGCAGCCCACAAGTACTTAAGCTTCGACAACCCGGTCCTATTTGTGTGTTTCTATTCACCAGTTTGACAGGCTTGAATTTCTTGGGCCTGGAGATTTGGAAAAGCTTGTTTATTCACCCTGCTGCATCATGGGTACATAAATCCTGTCAGGATCTCTCAGCTTGACAGAGATACAAGTTAATAGTGAAAGCGTGTCTAAATGGTGCAGAATTGGAAATTTGTGGACTACAAGAACTGAAACCTCTAAGTGCCAGGGACTAAGTGGTCAGGTCAGGGAGGAAAATTGCCGTGTAACAAGATGGGTCTTGTTCTTTTCATTGTCTTTAGCCTCTTCCTTCTCCTTTTACTGGCAAACAACTAGTCCTTCTGGCAAGTAGGTCTTACAAGGGAAAGCCAAAATCCCAATGATCTACACATGGAATACAACACAAGGCAGGCTGAAACCTGACATTTAATAAGTATGTCTGTTGCTCAACAGCTGCCAAGTTATCTCAAAGCTGTCCAACACAGGAAAAAGCTTATGTTTATAATTAAAGTCACTGGTTATAAATACTTGCAAAAGAATGTGAGGACCAGTGTTGGCCTAATGCCACCCCCAATTCTGATCTGTGGCTTGCTTTCACTAAAATGTCAAACACAGGTAACAGACACTTTTTCTCTAAGTCTATCTTTTGCTGTCTCTCCTTCTCACACACAATAGGCTGGGCAACGGGATTACACATGACCTGCAACGTCAAGGGTCACAGGCATACAGGAACATCAGCACTTCCACATTCTCCTCCGTATTTCACACCTTGAATACATATTGACTTCACTCCCTCCACATCCCTGGATCAAAATGGTCGGGTTCCCTTGACAACAGCACTATGGGCAAACGAACAGCACCATTAAAGGTGGTTAGTGTTTTTGAACAGAGCGACCTAGGGATCCAGGTACATAATTCTTTGAAGTTTGCATCGCACGTAGACAGGGTGGTTAAGAAGGCGTTTAGCACGCTTGCCTTCATTGCGCAGACCTTTGAGTATTGGAGTCAGGTGGCACAGCACTGCTGCCTCACAGCACCAGGGACCCGGGTTCGATTCCACCCTTGGGCGACTCTCTGTGTGGAGTTTGCACATTCTCCCCGTGTCTGTGTGGGTTTCCTCCGAGTGCTCCAGTTTCCTCCCACAGTCCAAAGATGTACAGGCTAGGTGGTTTGGCCATGGGAAATGCAGGGTTACAGTGATAGGGCAGGGTGGGGGGATGCCAAACAGAAGGTTTATATGGACTCAATGGGCTGAACAGTCTGCTCTCACGTTGTGGGGTGATATGATCATAGTCTATTAGAAGGCATGTTGAGGGTGTGCAGGACGTTAGTGAGGGTTCTTCTAGAATACTGTGTCCAGTTCAGGCCACCCAGTTATAGGAAAGGTATTATTAAGCTGGAGAGGGTTCAGAAAAGATTTACCATGATGTTGCTGGGAATGGAGGGTTTGAGTTATAGAGATCGGCTAGGACTGTTTTTCACTGGAGCATAGAAGATTGAGGGGTGACCATGTAGAGGTTTATAGAATCATGAGGGGTTTAGACGAGTTGAATGGCAGGTGTCTTTTCCCTAGGGTGGGGGATTTCAAGACAAAGAGGCATGTTTTTAAGGTGAGATGAAATAGATTGAGAAAGGACATGAGGGGCAACTTTTTTTTACACAAAGAGTGGTTCATGTGTGGAATGAACTTCCAGAGGAAGTGCTGGACGCAGGTACAGTTACAACGTTTAAAAGACATTTGGATAAGTACATGAATAAAAAATGTTTGGAGGGATATGGGCCAAGCGCAGGCAGATGGGACCAGTTTAGTTTGGGATTACGGTCAGCATGGGCAGTTGGGCTGAAGGGTCTGTTCCTGTGCTGTATGACTCATTCCCTACCACATTCTCAAGGACAATAAATTCCTGTCATGGTAGTCATACACATATGAGAGGATGACAATAAATATCACAAGTGGGATTGGTGACAGCCAAAGTTTTGGATCGAGTAAGCATTAGGTCTTCTACCAATTGATAAACAAGTTCTGCCATACTCTACAACAGAGTTCACGCCTAACTGGCCTTCCTAGCCTGGCCAGGAATCCTGACACTGCAGCGCCTCGAGATAAATTGAAAATTCTAAACATTAAGCAACAAGTTTTAATTGAAACTGTCAAATGGGAGAACAATGTGTTGGATGGTGGATGGACCATAGAGGCTCCTCTCACAGCAGAGGAAACTAAAGGGAGATGTGACAGAGGTCTTTGGATTCATGAAGGAATAGATTTGAGTGAACAAAGAGAAACTGTGACCAATGGGTGAGGCAGTCAATAAACTAACCCTAACCCTGTCCCAAATGCTAACCCTAACTCTATCGCTAAGGTTGGGTATGTTACGTTGGAGAAAAGACCCAATTTCGATCTCATCTCAAATGTTTCAGGTCTTTCTGTTTGACAGGCTTGAATTTCTTAGGCCTGGAGATATGGAAAGGCTTGTTTACTCACCCTATTGCATCATGGGTAAATAAATGATGTCAGGGTCTCTTAGCTTGACAGAGATACAAGTTAATAGTGAAGACGTGTTTAAATGGCGTTGTATTGGAAGTATGAAGGGACACATTATGTCGGTCACAAGAATGGAAGCCTCTAAGTTGTAGGGACTATTCGATTCAAAGGGAAGGCCGGCTGATGGCTGTTCTGATGGCAGTTGAAGAGCGAAAGCCGGATGTGAAATCACAACCTGCTGTAGGATTTGGGCCTAAAAGGATTCACACCTTTCTCTGAAAAATTGCAAGGTGTTGAACCTCCACGAGAGTGCCGCCCAGGCAGAAACACACTCTCGGTCAACCAAACGGGATGTCATAGAAGGAGCCGTGCTGCTGGAAGAGCTTTAACACTGACCCGATCAGAAAGAACGGAATCTACTTTACCTGTCAGCGCTGACAAAAACAATCTCAAACTTCTGTCCCATCTCTTTGATTTTTCGATACGTCTCCACGAGAACCCGGGTGAGGCTTCTGCAAGGGGGGCACTGTATTCAAAAGGACAGGATTAACAAGGCAAGCAGATAGGTTCTGGTACTCTTGTCTTCTGCACCAAAACGCCACACGCTTTCTTACAGCATGGTAATAATTAGAAACACTTCCACAACACTAATACATCTCATTTATCCTCTTATTTTTAAAAATTTTCTGTAACTCCCAACATCTGTTAAACACACCGCCTTGTCCTGGGGTCTTGTATTTTCATTATATTAATTAGCCCCATTGGAGGACTAACCCAGCGGGGATTTCTCAAAGGGTTTCGGATTGTGCTGGAGCATGTTCAAGTCCAATCAAACCTTTTCCTCCTCAGCTCCTCTCTCTAATGTACTTCCCAAAGGCGCTGACCCTGTTGTACGTTTTTGTTTTCAAAGAGGGCACTGAAAGTGGTTTTGGCAGTCCGGTTCGCCAAAGCAGCGTCGCACGGTTATTAGGATGTAAAAGTGGAGCAGCAGGTTCATGGTGTTTTTGAGTTTTACTCAAGAGAATTGTTTCGATGCAGCCTCCCTCTCTCGCCCTACATAAACGTCGGCCCATCAAAAACACCGGTGTCCATACGCTAGCTTATGGAGCTGATGTGTTTTACAGCAATCCAGTAGTTTCAAGGTAACTGTTATGGGTACCAGCACTTTACTTAAATAATTGCACTCAAAATTCCCTCACTGCTATGACGAGATTTGAACTCAACCCTGGAGTATCAATCCAGAATCCTAGGCCAATTTCCAGGGGATATGGATTCAACTCTCACCATGGCAACAGGTGACATTTGAATCAAATAAAAAACAAAATCGAATTAAAAAGCTAGCTCAATCGTGACTACATAATCATTACTGATTTGTTGTTTAAAAAAAACCCATCCGGTTCACTTAGAGTCATACAGCACGAAAAAAAAACTTAGGGAAGGAAATCTGCCATCCTTACTCAGTCTGTCCTACATGTGACTTCAGACCTACAGCAACGTGGCTAACTCTTAACTGCCCTCTGGGCAATTAGGGATGGGTAATAAATGCTGGCCTGAATGGTAACACACACACACACACACACACCCTGTTAATGAATAAATAGATAAGCAGTCTCCAGATCTCTATTCCAGGCCTCTGCCTTGCTAATCCAGTAACATTATCAACATGAGATAACAAGGTGTAGAGCTGGATGAACACAGCAGGCCAAGCAGCATCAGAGGAGCAGGAAGGCTGACGTTTCGGGCCTAGACCCTTCTTCAGAAAC